GTGGTATTTTAGTACCTGGGGGTAGTCGTAAACCCTTTGGGGTTGTAGCTCTGTTACGACTTAATCTTTCCCCTAACAATAGGGGGACAAATAACTCCATTTTTTGTTTGTTTTTTATTTTAATTAACCCAAACATTTAGCTTCATTGTATTTTGGTTGTGGGAATTTAAAAAAACCACAAGCAATTAAAAAATGAAAAAACTATACGCAAGAAAGCCAATCTTAAATTTTAATTTTCATTTAAAAGAGGTTTTGATAAAATAATTTCCCAATTTTAAAAATCTACTAATCTCACCATTTAAAATTTTTTAGAAAAAAGGGGGCCCCGGAAAAAAAACGAAATATTTTTCTTTCATAAGTGACAAAGAATTACCCAAATTTAGGGAAAATAATGGCAAAGGCAAGACAATAAATTGGTTTTTTTAAATTTTAGTTTAAGCTAGGAAACTTTGTGTTGAAACCCCCTACCGAGTCCCCCGAAAAATAGGAGCTGACTCTCTCACTCAACTACTTTTATATAACTTCACTCGGCCAGAAGGCGAAGCCCTGGCCCTCAATTCTAGAACCACCAATTTGGGCACTACAGTAGTGGTTACAAATTCGAATCCTAACCTTTAAAAATAATAAAAAAACAATATTATAATTTTAATAATCAGGGGAAAGATATAATACAAAATTTCAAAGAATTTCTTTCGATGAAATTTATACTGTAAACCCCCTAAAATATATAGTCGAACCCGCTTTATTTTAGCTAGTAATAAAGGTTCGGGGATATATTTTTACAAAAACTTTTTTTAACCAGGGCCTTTATTTTTGTATATAATGGAGGGGAATAAAGGGGGGCGTAAAAGCTCCTGGGTGTAGTTTTTCCTAGTACCTGGGGGTAGTTGTCGTAGTTTTCCCGGGGGTAGTGGTGGTAGTACCTTGCTGCAAGATTGGAAGGGGGTGCCCCGTGAGTGAAAGGAAGTGTTTTCCAGTAATGGAGGAATTTCCAGTAATGGAGGTGGGGGCCGTGAGTGATGGAAATGTTTTCCAGTAAAGGGGGTAGTGCCAGTAATGGAGGGGGGTGCCAAAAGAGGGGTGCCAGTAATGGAGGGGGTGCCAGAAAAGGAGGGTTTGGGGCCCTAATGGAGGTGGTGCCAGAAAAAGGGGGTGGGGGCCGTGAAATAAAGGTTTTTTGGGACATTTAAAAATGAAAAGATGCCCTCAGAAGCCGCAGGGATCTGTCAGCAAAAGCAAGCATGACCCCCCCTCTCGTGTTCATTGGGGGCCAAAACCTGGTTTTCCCCTTTGGGAAGTAGTCCCAAAATTTTTTTTGGGACTTTCCTATGATCAGTGGTGTTCTATTGCTAAACAGTTTTTTGTAAAAGCCCCTTTTATCTGTGTTCCCGGGTTTCTAAAAAGTTTGTGTACTATAACCTGTTCTGGGGTTCTGTTTTTCTAAACAGTTTGTTAACAGCCTTTTGATTCCTGTGGGGTCTGTTTCTAAAAAAGTTTTTTTTACTGAAGGTGAAAGATAAAACCCTTTTCGGGGCCCGGCCCCAAGTTTTAAAAAAAATACATATTTTAATAACAACACCCGTGACTAAACCGAGGGCTAAAAAAACCGGGGTTGATTTTTGGGCCCGCCTCATGGTCAGCGAAAATTTCCCCAAGCTCTAACCCCAAAGGGCCACCCAATCCACAAAGTCAACGCAACCACAGAGCTAGGTGTTGTAGTGATCCGAGGGCAACGAAAGGTACTTTACCTAAATTTTTTGGGTTTTCAGGGGTTTGAGTCAAAGCTCCGGGCCCCCCCCTCTTCGCTGATTGCTACTAGGTTTTTCTCTCTCCCCTGCCCCATTAGCTTTATCATACCTCGCCTTAAAACTAGTATGGTTTTTTCCCCCCCCACCCACGTTTACTTTTTTAGGGTATTCCACCCGGGCCCGACAACTCTGACTGAAGAAATACTTCCTAACTCCCTTTTATTCATCTGAGTCTTCAACTTTTCCCAATTTTGACCTCTTGTGTCTGTGTCCCTTCCCCTGGAACATCCCGTTCCTTTTTTCCACCTTGTCTGTTCCGCGCATATTTTTAATGTCGTTTTCATGTCTCCCCCCGACCCTTCCCCCTCCCCATGCCCTCACCCCGATTTCCCTCAAAACCCTTTCCCTTTGGGAGGAAACCCAAACCCCGTAGCCCCCGGGAAATAGTCTTATTGCAAAAACCCTTTTCACTTTCCTCTAATTTCCTGACGTGCTTTACTAGGTGTGGGTTTTCCAAATGGGTTGTCATTTCTCCAGTATGGACCTGAAGAAAAGGTATACAAGTCCCCTTTAACGAATCCCTTTCTGAGGGATCGGAACGCTTCCGTGGTGTGGTGCCCGGGAGAGCTAATTTCATTCTATTGACCGTTTTATGAAAACTTGCTATTTGCAGTGTTTTGTTGTGATTTTAAAAACCACTTTATTCGTGGTTTCAATTAAATATACGGGATGGAGGGTAGTACACCAAAATGCAGTGGGGGCTAGTAAAAACCCCAAAAGCTATTGGGGGGCTAGTTTCAACCAAACTGCAGTGGGGGCTATACAAACCCAAAATGCAAAGGGGGGCTAGTAAAAACCCCAAAATGCAGTGGAGGGTAGTACACCAAAATGCTAGTGGGGGCTAGTACAACCAAAAATGTAGTTTGGGGGCTATTTTCACCAAACTTCTAGTGGGGCAAATACACCAAACTGCTATGGGGGCTAGTAAAAACCAAAATGCTAGGGAGGGTAGTCCAAACCAAACCCCCTAGTGGAGGCTATACAAACCCAAAAAATGCTAGTGGAGGCTAGTACAAAACCCAAAATGCTAGTGGGGGCTAGTACAACCCCAAAAGCTAGTGGGGGCTAGTAAAAACCAAACTGCAAATGGAGGCTAGTACACCAAACTGCTAGTGGAGGGTAGTACAAACCCAAAATGCTTTTGTGGAGGCTATTTCAAACCCAAAATGCTAGTGGGGGCTAGTACAAACCCAAAATGCTAGTGGGGCTAGTACACCAAATGGGTAGGGAGGCTAGTACACCAAACCCGCTAGTGGAGGCTAGTACAAAACCCAAATGGGTAAATGGAGGCTAGTACAAACCAAAATTCTAGTGGGAGGGTAGTACACCAAACTGCTTTGTGGAGGCTAGTAAACACCAAAACTGCTAGGGAAAGGGTAAATAAAAAAACCAAAATGCTAGTGGAGGCTAGTACAAACCAAAATGCTAGTGGACTAGAAAACCAAAATGGGAAGTGGAGGCTAGTACACCAAACTGCTAGTGGAGGCTAGAAAAAAACCAAACTGCTAGTGGGGGCAAATACAAACCAAAACTGCTAGTGGGGGCTAAAATACACCAAACCGCTAAATGGAGGCTAGTACACCCCCCCAAAATGCTAAATGGGGCAAATAAACCAAACTGGGTAGTGGAGGGCTTTTACAACCAAACTGCTATTTGGAGGCTAGTACACCAAACGGGCTAGTGGAGGCTAGTACACCAAAACTGCTAGTGGAGGCTAGTACACCAAATGCTAGTGGAGGCTAGTACACCAAACTGCTAGTGGAGGCTAGTACACCAAACGCTAGTGGAGGCTAGTACACCCAAACTGCTAGTGGAGGCTAGTACCACCAAACTGCTAGTGGAGGCTAGTACACCAAACTGCTAGTGGAGGCTAGTACACCAAACTGCTAGTGGAGGCTAGTACACCAAACTGCCTAGTGGAGGCTAGTACACCCAAACTGCTAGTGGAGGCTATTTACACCAAACTGCTAGTGGAGGCTAGTCACCAAACTGCTAGTGGAGGCTAGTACACCAAACTGCTAGTGGAGGCTAGTAAAACCAAACTGCTAGTGGAGGCTAGTACACCAAACTGCTAGTGGAGGCTAGTACACCAAACTGGGATTTAGAACGAATAATCAGAAAAAGTTTTTCGTCATAAATCAGCAGAAATTAATCTGAACATATATAAATTTTATGTTAAATAATATTAAATAAATTTAAACTGATCCATAATATATGTAGAAAGATATAGGTAAAAAAAATAAGTTACATTAAGTTAGGTTAAGTTAGGTGTTAAAGTTACGTTTTGACTAAATATATTTTGTTTTCACAGCATTATCAGTGAGAAAATATATATATATCAATTTGTATAAATTTTGAGGGGAATAGTCCTATTTTTCAAGGAGATCGGGTAATTAGGCCGAACTAATGAAGGCAGATGTTGTGGCAGTGAGTTATTTGGTAATGTCATCATCTTGCTTCACACAACACACAAACTTTTATTAATTTGTATAATAAACTACAACGTTTCTGTTTCATGAGTTTTTGCGGAATTTTTACTGTACCCGTCTCGTTCAAGTGTAGCTGAAGTGATGTCATGATGATAGCACTAGTAACTAACCGTCGTTCAAGTGTAGCTGAAGTGATATCATGATAGCACTAGTAACTAACCGTCGTTCAAGTGTAGCTGAAGTGATGTCATGATAGCACTAGTAACTAACCGTCGTTCAAGTGTAGCTGAAGTGATGTCATGATGATAGCACTAGTAACTAACCGTCGTTCAAGTGTAGCTGAAGTGATGTCATGATAGCACTAGTAACTAACCGTCGTTCAAGTGTAGCTGAAGTGATGTCATGATGATAACACTAGGTAACTAACCGTCGTTCAAGTGTAGCTGAAGTGATGTCATGATAGCACTAGTAACTAACCGTCGTTCAAGTGTAGCTGAAGTGATGTCATGATAGCACTAGTAACTAACCGTCGTTCAAGTGTAGCTGCAGTGATGTCATGATAGCACTAGTAACTAACGCGTCGTTCAAGTGTAGCTGAAGTGATGTCATGATAGCACTAGTAACTAACCGTCGTTCAAGTGTAGCTGAAGTGATGTCATGATGATAGCACTAGTAACTAACCGTCGTTCAAGTGTAGCTGAAGTGATGTCATGATAGCACTAGTAACTAACCGTCGTTCAAGTGTAGCTGAAGTGATGTCATGATGATAGCACTAGTAACTAACCGTCGTTCAGGTAGCTGAAGTGATGTCATGATAGCACTAGTAACTAACCGCCGTTCAAGTGTAGCTGAAGTGATGTCATGATGATAGCACTAGTAACTAACCGTCGTTCAAGTGTAGCTGAAGTGATGTCATGATAGCACTAGTAACTAACCGCCGTTCAAGTGTAGCTGAAGTGATGTCATGATAGCACTAGTAACTAACCGTCGTTGCAAGTGTAGCTGAAGTGATGTCATGATAGCACTAGTAACTAACCGCGTTCAAGTGTAGCTGAAGTGATGTCATGAATAGCACTAGTAACTAACCGCCGTTCAAGTGTAGCTGAAGTGATGTCATATGAAGCACTAGTAACTAACCGTCGTTCAAGTGTAGCTGAAGTGATGTCATGTGATAGCATAGTAACTAACCGTCGTTCAAGTGTAAGCTGAAGTGATGTCAAAGATAGCACTAGTAACTAACCGTCGTTCAAGTGTAGCTGAAGTGATGTCATGATGATAGCACAAATAACTAACCTCGTTTTTAAGTGTAGCTGAAGTGATGTCATAAAGATAGCACTAGTAACTAACCGTCGTTCAAGTGTAGCTGAAGTGATGTCAAAGATAGCACTAGTAACTAACCGTCGTTCAATGTAGCTGAAGTGATGTCATGATGATAGCACTAGTAACTAACCGCGTTCAAGTGTAGCTGAAGTGATGTCATGATGATAGCACTAGTAACTAACCGTGTTCAAGTGTAGCTGAAGTGATGTCATGGGTAGCACTAGTAACTAACCGCCCTTCAAGTGTAGCTGAAGTGATGTCAAAAGCACTAGTAACTAACCGCCCTTCAAGTGTAGCTGAAGTGATTCATGATAGCACAGTAACTAACCGCCGTTCAAGTGTAGCTGAAGTGATGTCATGATAGCACTAGTAACTAACCGTCGTGCAAGTGTAGCTGAAGTGATGTCATGATAGCACTAGTAATAAAAGTACAATTAGTAAATTCTGTGTGAAAATTTCAATGAACAAGGATGTCGATAAGTACTAGTACTAACCCCTTAGTTACTTATTCATATCCCCTTTTTGGTTATTTAACCTTCGGTTTAATTACTTTCTTGGTTATTCTGGGTTAACTTAGCTTTTTGGTTAAAAATTTTCGTGCGGACCTTCTTAGTTACTTACCTTCTTAGTTACCTTCTTAGTTGCTTACCTTCTTATTACTTTCTTAGTTACCTTCTTCTATTCATGGCTGAATGGCTGACTTAATTTAGTGTATATTTTTGACACGCTTAGTCGTGAGAGATTAATGTCAGTAAATCCCACGGCTGTGTCGCTTCCTTTCAAACACTTGACAAGTGTCATTGACAGGGCTGGCTAACACACAATACCAACCAACTTGGGAGTCCCTGGACACGAGGCCGCTACCCACTTGGTACGACGGGGCCAAGATTGGTATCTTCATCCATTGGGGCGTATTTTCTGTGCCTTCCTTTGGTTCCGAGTGGTTCTGGGAGAACTGGCAAGGTAAGCTTATTTTTTCTAGAGCAAGGAAAATAAACGTACTGCAAAGATGTAATATTTTTCAACCTGCCACAAATATTTCACTTTAACCCCCTAAAAGGCCAATTAACAGCAGGAAGTGTAACTCAAAACTTCAAAGCCCGATGAACCCCTTTAAAACCTAACACCTTCTACTTACCCTCCGAGAAAGATTCCCAACCAAAGTTTGAGTCCTCGAAACCAAATTTATTTCACTGATAAAATGAATAAATTAAAATTGTAATTTTTGGAAATTTTTCCCGAAGGGTTGGGCCCCCCAGGTTCAAAAAGTTTCTTAAACTTCTAATTATTTCCTTTTCTTAATCTTTTCCCAACAATTCGACACAAACCGTGAAAAACCCAGACCTATTTAGCATTAAAAGGCAAAGGTGTAAAAGTGTCAAAAAATTTAAACCCCAAATAACGGGCCCCCGTGTGTAACGGGCTTTAGCCACCAGGAACCGGCCCCTGCCAGAGTTTTGGATGACAACTCGTAACCTAAAGTAGTTTCCCGGATAAAGGATTGTCTTTTGAACTTTTTGGGGAAAAGGAAACGTTGATAAGTCTTCCCAGGGGCCTGGTTTACAAAAACCCCCTTTGGGGGTTTCCCCAACCTCTTCTCCTTTTTAAAAATATTTTAATCCTACCCTGTAAAACCAAGAAAGACACAGGAGCAGTATGTCAACACCATGATACTCAGGACTGTTTAAGACGTGCTCCTTTATTTTGGTGACTGGCTCTTTATCCAGGGAATCAGATACTTTTTTGCTTTGGATAAAATCTGATTATCTTCCGTTCCTATAGTGCTCCCCCCCCCCCCCGAGTTTAAAAATAATAAGCTGAAAATTCGCCTGGATAAGTATAGCAATGAGTGTGAGGTGGTTAGTGTTACTGAAGGGTACAGGTTGCCAACAGTGAGAGCAGATTGGCAGCTGTTACAAATGGGTGGAAGTTTGTAATAAATGAAGAAACATCAAAGTGAGGAAGGTTAAAAGAGAACAGTTGAAGGTAGGAAATTGCTTCTTTGTTCTCCAGGCCGAATGTACTTCATTAGTCCATTAAGGTTAAAGGTACCACTAACTCCTCTGCTACTAAAGGTAAGAATATCCTTGTGGTCGATGACTCTCAGGCAATATATATTAACTGTGCTTTCTGTAACAGAGATAAGAAGGTGAGGCAGAGGGTGTGTTTCCCAGGAGCTGCTGTTGGTGACAGTCAACTGGTTGTATCATGTTAGGTAATGAAAACAAGCCCATTATCCGCCCCAGTACTGGTGGAGACTATATCAGGAGACAGTAGCTGCTAGATAAGTACAGTTCAATTATAGATTTAATTAGGTCTAAGGGATTGGTGGGTGCCGATCATATGTAACATCTCGCCTAGAAGGAGAGTGGGCAATGAATGGATGGATATCTAGGGCAAATGGTGTAAACTGCAATCCCATTCATTGACAACTGGGGCAGTTTCTATGGCAAACATGATATGTATGCAAGGCATGAAGTATATATCTCTGGGCAGGAGTTTGTTTAATGTTTATTATGCACCCCATACCCATCCTGTGGGCGGTAGTCAAAAGATTACAAAGGTACATAATGGGTCCAGTGACTGGACCCCAAAGTTATGATAGCCGAACTAGTTTTACAAAGGTAATGAACTCCAGGTAGATCTGATCACAATCATGGCAAGTTACAGAGGTAAGAATCAGCCTCACTCCTATACATGGTTACAATCATGAACAAATTACAAAGTAATGAACCACTGATACTCCACACCTGGTCACAATTGTAATGAGTTATAATACAAATATTAAGTGGATCATGCACCACACTATCGCGCGGTAATGTTAGCTAACTCTGTCACACGGGCACATTGTTTAGTTGCTATGGACTTTAAACTGACAGAAGAAAGGTATGGTGTGTGGGTAACACATGGTTGCAGCCATGAGGGATGAATAGCAACACATATTACCAGGATACTTCAGGGATGTATTTAAAAGCATTATTCTTCATATAGTTACTAATAAAGGCAATCATAACTGGTCAACAGAACAACAGAGGATTTAGCTATACTAATAGAAAGAGTGCACAAAAATTAGATGAGCTATAGATTAACGCATGGGGTAAGGAAACAGATTTTTTCTTGTTTATAACAGAGACCTGGTTTCAACCATGGGGCCACCAGGCCACAGTGCCCCGTAGCCTGGTGGCTAAAGTTCTCTCACTTTCCACGAACGGCGAGAGTCCGGGGTTTCGATTCCCATAGAGGGCAGAAACATTGGGCGTGTTTCCTTACACCTGTTGTCTATGTTCACCCATCAGTGTAAAATGGGTACCTGTGTGTTAGTCGACTGGTGTGGGTCGCATCCTGGGACAAAACTGACCTAATTTTCCCCGAAATGCTCACATAAAAAGTATTTTCTATGTAGTAGTATGTCATTGAGTCAGCTAGGACTGTATACCTTGTGCATGTACTTGTAGAAATAGATATATATTATTGAGAAATGCCTTCTGAATGCACAAACAAGGCTATTAATTATTTCACGCCGATATAGTTAATAAAAATGGTGGTGGAGTGGCGATGTATGTCAGAGACAATTTAAATTGTTGCGTTAGACAAAATATAATAGAAGCATCGGACACAATCTGTTTAGCTAGTTTCTGAAGAGACGTGAAAAAACTAATCTTGGGTGTGATATACAGGCCCCCAAAACTTGATAGGGAATGCAGTAAACTTCTGTTGGAGAAAACTCATGTTACCGAGAGATTTTAACTTTAGACACATTAATTGGAGTAATCTGACAGGAAATATTATGTCTACAACTTTCTTGATACGATCCAGGATTGCTTTTTAAGAGTCTGTGACAGAACCAACTGGAGGAAACAATCTGCTTGACTTGGTTCTTGCCAACAACGAATCACTAATTAATAATCTTGAGGTTAATGATGAGCTTGGGGAAAGTGATCACAAATCGATTTGGTTTAACATATCGTGGAATTACTTTGACTACAACCAAGTCTTTGTCCCTGACTTAAGCTTGGTCAGTTGCACAGGACTGAGAAATTACACGTGTCAGATAGGTGGTGATGGTTGCCAATAAGACATTTTTCAAACCATAGTTCAAGCTTCCCAGACTACTTGTGTTCCAAACAGGAAAATTAGATAGAGCAAAAATGACTCTAAATAAATAAACAATGGATTAAAGCATCTTATAGGTCAAAAGAGAAGCCTTTACAGGGGAATCAAAAGTGGTATTTAAGGTATAATTATATTCAATTAAAGAGTAATAAGAGAAGCGATTTGACAATTAACCCAAAAGCTTTTTTTTTCAGGTATACAGGAGAGAGATTAGGGACAAGATAGACTGACACAAAAGCTGTTCGAGTCAGCTCACTGACAGTCATCAATAAATGTGCAGAAGCTTTAATTACTTCCTCTCAGATTTATGTAGAAGACACTAGCCTGCTGCAGTGCTCCTTCCTGAGCGTGTGAAATTGGACATACCTAGCACGGGCCAGCAGCAGTGTTCCTTCATTATTATATTTTTAAATAGGTGTTTTGTCAGTTTTAAACTGTCATGGCTTAAAGTTTAAAGCATGATAATTTTACAAGTAACTTATGAGTGATAAATGTTGAAGTGTGCATATAAACATTTAAAAATATACTTAAAGTGTTATAGATAATGCAAAGATGACATTACAAAAACATCTGAAGATTCTTGACACAAACCCGTTACTTAATTTAATGTTGTATATTTACTGTTGATCAGGAGAGGCTTTCTAAAGTTATTATGATACAACCACACTTGTCAGTCTATAAAATTAATCAGGAAGGATCAATATATACAAATATTAGCATAAACCTGATATAGTTATGCTGTTAAAAAATCGTATGAGGCTTTGTTTAGTTAAATACGGCAGCTTGTGAGGATAATAACTAAGGTAGTTACTTCAGGTTAATCTCCGAGTGATACACAATAGACAGATATAACTTGGTCACTATATAATGCCAGGAAATTATTCCCCCTATCCTTTAACCAACCCCCTTACT